TCCTCTACACAGTCTTCTAGCCACTCCGCCCCAAGCCTGTAGCGTTGCTTGGGGTTACTGTGGCCAAAGTGTAGGACCTGGCATTTGGTCTTATTAAACCTCATCCCATTGGCTTCAGCCCAGCTATCCAGCCTGTCCACATCCCTCTGTAGGGCCTCGCTACCCCCAGGCAGATTGACACTTCCAGCCAACTTGGTGTCATCTGCAAACTTACTGAGGGTGCACTCAGTGCCCTCATCCAGGTCATCAATAAAGATATTGAAAAGGACAGGCCCCAGCACCGACCCCTGGGGAACACCACTTGTGACCGGTCGCCAGCTGGATTTAGCTCCATTGACCACCACTCTCTGGGCCCGGCGCTCCAGCCCGTTCATTACCCAGCCAAGAGTGTACCTGTCCAAGCCACGGACTGCCAGCTTCTGCAGGAGAATACTGTGGGAGACAGTGTCAAAGGCCTTGCTGAAGTCTAGGTAAACTACATCAACAGCCTTTCCCTCATCCACCAGGCGGGTCACTAGAACATCAGGTTGGTCAAGCAGGACCTACCCTTCGTGAACCCATGCTAGGCCTGATCCCCGGTTGTCCCGCACTTGCCACATGATCTCCCTCAAGACAATCTGTTCCATAACCTTCCTTAGCACTGAGGTCAGGCTAACAGGCCTGTAGTTCCCCTGGTCCTCCTTACAACCCTTCTTGTAGATGGGAGTCACATTGGCAAGCCTCCAGTCTTCTGGTACTTCACCAGTCAACAAGGAGCGCTGATAGATGATGGAAAGCGGCTCGGCTATCACCTCCACCAGTTCCCTCAGCACTCTCGGGTGAATCTCATCCGGCCCCATGGACTTGTGACAGTCCAGTTGGAGTAGCAGGTCTCTGACTGTTTTCTTCTGAATCGTGGGTGGTTTAGTCTGCTCCCCAGCCGAGACTACCAGGTCAAAAAGTGGAGTATCCTGAGGATAACTGGTCTGACCTTTAAAGACACAGGTAACAAGTGGTGTCCCTCAGGGGTCAGTACTGGGACTGGTGATCTTTAACATCTTCATCAATTACATCAACAGTGAGATTGAGTGCACTCAGAAAGTTTGCAGGTGATACCAAGCTGTGTGGTGCAGTCAGTATCAAGGAATGGCATGCCATTCAGAGAGACCTAGACAGGCTCAAGCAGTTGACCCAGGTGAACCTCATGAGGTTCAACAAATCCAGGTGCAAGGTGTTGCACCTGTGTCATGGTAATGCTCACGATCTCTATGAGTTGTGGGATGTAAGGATAGAGCACAGCCCTGCTGAAAAGAACTTCAGGGTACTGCTGAGCGCTAAGCTGGAGTTGAGCCAGAAATGTGCCCTCACATCCCAGAAAGCCAACTGTATTCTGGATTGCATGAAAAGAAGTTTGGCGAGCAGGCTGAGGGAAGTGATCCTGCTCCTCTGCTCTGCGCTAGTGAGACCTTAGCCTGGAGTACTGCATCCAGATGTGGAACCCTCAGTACAGGAGAAACAGATCTGTTGGAGAGCACCCAGAAAAAGGCAAGAGATATGATCCAAGGGATGGAATACCTCCCCTATGGCAACAGGTTGAGACAGCTGGGGCTGTTCTGCCTGGAGAAGAAAAGGCTCTGAGGTGATTTGTTAGCAGCCTTTCAGTATCTAAAGAGGAGCTGTAAGAAAAAAAAAAGCAGACTCCTTAGCAGGGTCTGTAGTGATAGGACAAGGGGAAGTGGTTTCAAACGAAAAGAGGGGACATTTAGATTGGACATAAGTTTTTTAGAATAGGGTGGTGAGCAGTGAAGCAGGTTGCCCAGAGATGTTGTGGACGACCCATCTCTGGAGACATTCAAGGCCAGGCTGGCCAGGCTCTGAGCAACCTGGTCTAGATATAGATGTCCCCATTCATTGCAGGGGAGTTGGACTTGATAACCTTTAAGGGTCCCTTCCAATTCAAAAGATTGTTTGATTTGCTGCACTGTATCACATATCCATTTGAATTATCTTAGTCTATGTTTCTCTAATAGGTATGATGAGAAGATGGGATGATAGTCAAAGATTTCTGTCTGACCACCCATATCTTGTAAGTGAAGAAACATCTAAATATCTCATGTTATGGTGCTTTCATCTAGAAGCTGAACAGGTATGAAGATCTTTAAATTGTTTGAAAGTTTACAGTTTCTGACTTGCACTTTGGAAAAGTCGTCCAACTTCATTAGCTGTTCAGGTATTCCCCTCTTGCTGACTCTAATTTGAGGAAAAAAACTACATAAAATGTTGTTGCATTAGGTCTAGTTTCAATGAAGTAACAGTCCCCTTACTTCTGTGGCCCTCAGATCTTATCTGTTTAGCTAATAAAATGAATTAATGCTGAATTGTATAAACATAGTTACAGGAAATATATTTAAATTGTAACTTTTAATTTTTTTTCCCCCCTTTCCCCCAGAAAAGAGCTCTAATGGAACAAGTAGCACACCAAGCAGTAGTAATGCAGTTTATTATAGAAATTGCCAAAAACTGCAATGTGGATCCAAGAGGCTGTTTTCGTCTCTTTTTCCAAAAAGCCAAAGTAAGTCACTCTGTATAATGATGGTAGAAACTCTTAACATTTTTCAAGGAACCAGTATTTAAGAGTAGGTTTCTTCCTAGCTGTAAGATGCTAAGTATTTTATTTACTTAGTATTATGGGGACGTGTTCTATTGGCAGTTCTTCATAGATATTTTGCTGTAATTCCTATCTTGAAAATGCAGGAGAAATGTAGAAAGACTCAAACTGTGGTTTGCTGTTGACTGTATTCAGTTATTCATGTCCAGTGGGTCTTAATGCTGCATTAATAGGAGCTCAGTTAACTCCTTTAAGAAGTTCTGCTGACTGAGTCAACTTGTGCTTTTCTCTTGGCTAGAATGCTAGAACAAGCACCTGTTTTTGTAAAGTTAATAAAGGAAGGGCTAAAATGAGATTTCTTTTTACACGTCTTTAGATAAATAAATGACTTTGCTTCTGTGTTTAAGTAGTACAGTTAGCCTTAATGACAATTTAGGTATGATTCCTTTTTTTTTTTTTGGCTGACATTCTTTACTTTTTTAGTAAACATAAGGTTTACAATTCATAAGATAATCTGTTTGAAATGAGAATACTTCATTTTTTCTTTTTGCAGACAGGAGAAGGCTATTTTGAGGCATTTAAAAATGAACTTGAGGCATTCAAGACAAGAGTGAGAATCTGGTCACAATCAGATAGCTTTCAGGCTATCTTACTATATAATCCCGCTATCAATCCTAGTCTTGTAGAACAGCTGACATCTTTGTCACAGGTAAGTTTATTACTTCCAGAAATGAATTTAACTAAATTGGGATTAGGTCCTATGTTGAGAAGTTTTATCTTTCTGGAATTAAAGAAAATTATTCCTAGAACAGAGCGCTCAGGATATAACTTCCAGTATTATCAATATGCAAGGCATATATATGCTCTCTTCTCACCTGTTAGAACTTGTCTGGAGGAGAATCAGGGGAGACCTTATAGCTCTCTGCATCTTCCTGAAAGGAGGTTGTATCTAGGTGAAGGTCAGCCTCTTCTTCTGTGTAACTAATGATAGGACTAGAGGCAGTGGCCTCTAGTTGCACCAGGGTAGGTTCAGGTTGGGCATTAGGAGAAGTGGAGAAGTGTTGGTGGTAGGTGGACAGGTGGACTAGATGATCTTGGAGGTCTTTCCTAATCTTGGTGATTCTATGACTCCATCAGGAGAAGGTGAAAAGCAAATGTTCAGCACATTTCCATTTTTGTTGAAAAAGAAATGCTGCATCATTAAGCTGATGCAATGATAGAATTGTATTCACACCTTACCACAAAGAGTGGAAGAGGCTTTTAGGTTAAAATAATCAAAGCTATTCATAGGATCCTTCAGCTAAGTGATGCCTGAAGATCACCTGTTGTCACAGAAGAAAACTTAAGGTTGCTTACATCTTTTGTTAGACTACTAGTGATGGCCATATCCTGGAATGAAGAAGCAACTTAAAAGATTTTCAAAAATTTGGTATTAGAGAAGGATATGTAGTTGAAACTACTTAACTTGAAATAATTTGATTAAAGTACTTTTCAGGTAAGATCCATAGTTGAATTCTAGTTAATGTACAGTCAAGTACTAGAAATACACCAAACACAACCTGTGCTAGTTAAATTTTAAAAAAGAAAAAAGGCACTTTAACACAGTGCAGTAGTATTGGGTAATGAATTTTTATAAGCTTATTTTATTAGTATTGCATGTTTGTCTTGTCTTAAGATAGACAATATGAAGAGTCTATCTTCAAGCTAAAAGTTCTCCTTTCTCCTCCGGTTGTGGAGAATTAAGCTGTCAATTTTTCATCTGTTGCAGAACACAGGTGATCTACAAGGTTCCATAAATACAAATGTCTGCAGTTTAAACTCTGTGATACAAAGAGATGAAGAAGAATCCAAAATGATGGACACAGTATAGCATTGTTAAGACTGAGGCCAAGTACCTTTTTTTTTTCTTAACAAAGGAAAGAACATGGCTATTTTCTTGACACTTATTTTTCTGGGTACTGCACTTTATTTTTGGTGTCAGATTTGTTGTTGTTTTTTGTTGGGGGGTGGGTTGAATGGGGGGTGGGCAATTCAGAGAAACTTGTAATATTGTTTGAAAATGTGCTGCTAGGTTTTTGGTTGTCCTTGAAGAGCAGGGTTCTCATATTGCTGAATGTGAAACTGGATGTGTTTTCTGCTACTAACCTTGCCTTTCATAACTTTAGAAATCAAAGTATGATAAAAGAATCTGCACAAATACAATGTTTACAAGAAGCAGTAGATTCTTATTAGAATCTGCTATTGTCTTACTACAGATGTGGATGTCTTACTCTGAATTGGAGATCACAACTGTATTTACGCTACCTTGTTCACATTATAAGCTCTCAAATTCGGTTATCACTAATAGCAATAAATCAGTATCTGGTATCAGTATTTCATATCTGGATGGATTAGGTTAAAACACTGGGTTTCTACCTCTACAAAGGGGATTTAAATGTCACATTGTGCTTCATTAAAAACTTGGTTTTGTCCTAAAACATAATCAACACTTGTCTATGTATGAGTGCCAAGTTGTATGTCCTCAGGTTTGGATTCTCATTTTTCTAAGAAAAACTATTTTTTTTTAAAGCCAAGAGTCTGCATGGGGAGAAGTATTTTGATGAAGGGACAGGGAACTTTATGTACAAGGATTAGGAAAATATATAGGTTGCTCTGAAAGTAATGCCTCATACTTACTTCTATGGAAGCTGCAGTAGATAAAAGAGCACAATAACACTATTTGAAAGAACACATTCTTAGCCACAAAATAGCTATGGAACACTATTTTTCAACACAGTCACCACTATTTGCTTTATATTTTCACTAGCCTGCATGTAGTCCTTTTAAAAATTGGTACCAGTGAAGGTGACCCACAGTTACCATAGCTGAAAAGTGCCACCCACTGCCTCACTGTATTTGCATCCACTGTTTGGTCTCCGTAAATGTTCAGCAAGTGTTGATGAATATCAGCGGGTTTCGCTTTTTTTTTTTTTTTTTTTTGCATGGAGGAATTCAGTGACACACCTTTGCTTCATACGCACTTCCATGTCAGATGCCATTCTGTCAGACTGCCCCTCTGCTGCCATTTGTCACACAGCAACAAAATGTAATGGAATATTGGTGGGAAGGTTCAATTTCTATTGTCATATCAACAACAACATAATAAGGCCAATAAAGTAGGAGGCGTTACTTTTAGAGCAGTCTTCATATTTCAAGCTATGTCATGGTAACATCTTTCAGGATTTCAAAGGTAATTCATATGGTATACTAAAGTGAGTTAACGAAATTGTCAGCTTAAGCAGTTAAAGTGAAAACTTATTAAATGGTTTGTTTTAGGAGCTAGAAATCTAACCCGTTTTAAGATGTTCCACAGAACCTCTGCAGTCAGGAATTCTACCCTGCCTTACTACTGCTTTAGCAGTTCTACATATAAAAATCTATACTGTAGTTAAAACATGCCAGTGAAAATAGCTTACATTTCAAGTAGTGCTATAGGTTTTCAGATACTTTAACTGTATTGATTTAATTGTAAGGTTGGGAAAGTATCTAGACTCCTAGTAGCTTTTCCAATATACTTACAGTTGATTCAGACAGATTCAGGCTAAAGCTATTCTGAGACTTGTTTTCAGCTGTGGGCTGAAAATAGACCCAAGTCTTAAGTTTACAGTATATACCACATTATTAGTATAATTGCAGTAGCAGAAACAGGAACTTTAACTCAACTGGAAGTACCTTTTCCTGTGCTTAGTGTTTGTTCCCTGCCAGTTTCTTTACTGTCAAACTGAGAATAAAAGAGATCTGTCACAGACGGAAGTTATCTATAAAGTGTATTAAGTGTGTATAAAATTTGACAGTCGCTCCAGAGTAGAAGAAGTGAACACTGCCTCCTAAGTTAATTATTAAGGGAAACTAGCAGCTTCAGGTTGTTCTTTAACTGAATTCTCGCTATATACATTTGTTATAAGGACAATGTACAGTGCACAGTGATTTGTAATTGCTATCACTAGCAGTAGAGCCACATTTATTTATCAACCTGTGACACACTGAAAGTTGTTTTTGTTATGTGTAATTAAAATTGCTTGACTTGTGGGGGGGGAAGTCTCAAACCATATGGAGGGCAAGAAAGCAAGCATAGTTTCTTTTTGTAGAAATAAGCAAAAATATAATGAGAAGGCCTTACAAACTCTACAGCACCCATCTTCTTTGAGACTTGCTTAGTATTGACAACAGTAAAGCTACACATGAATATGCAGACCAAGGTATGACAGCTCTGCAGTTAATAAGAGTAAATGCAAAAGGAGACAGACCTGCATTAGCAAGACAAGGCAGCTACCTCAGACACTGCTTAGACAGAGTTGTTTCATCCTCAGGTTTTGCTTACCCTTCTTGAAATTCAGACTGGTGAACATTTTAAAAAAATCCACTGAAAAAGAGCAACATCTGTATTATCTGGACTATTAAAAGCATAGTATGTAGAGGTTTGTGAATCCAGTTACTTAATGAATAAATTAATAAAAGAGCTGGTCAGAGACATGAATTAGCAGCATGAGGTCACTAAAACTATGCTTGCTAAATTAAAATTTGCTCCAGTAAAGAGATTAATTTGACAAAGGGAAATCTTGTCACAGGCATCTGGGAAGAGCAGCTTTTTGAAAGAGAAAGGGGAAGACAGGCAATTTTGACCAGTGTATCTCTATAGGCTTACCAACTTACACTAACTGCCCAGTGTCCACTTTCTTTTTATTAGTGAAGCCTTGCACAGCTGCTCAAAGACAGAGGCTTTAACAAATGAATTTGTAAGTCATTCAAAATTTTTCATGCCAATAATATAGCTGAAGGCAGAAATAGAACCATAGCAATAGGGCAGATTATCCATAGAAGTCTCAAGGGTAACTTAAGCCCAGCAAAACCAATAAATCTAAGGAATGTTATCATTTTATGTGATTAAGCTACCACTGTATGTAATTTCTTTTTTTTCCCCTCACAAAGGATAGTGAGCAACTGAAAGAAGTTACCAAGGAAGTTGTGTTCAAAGTCAGAATGAGCAGAGCTTTCAGCAGCCTGATAAAGTGAACCACGTCCTTAACTTGGTGATAGAGAGCTTGAACTAAATGACTGCTAAAAGATCCCTTTCAACCCAAACTGTTCTTTGCCAATTAGGGGCTGAAAGCGCTTCTTGCAGCCACAGTCCTTCACAGCTTCTAGGAGGCCACAAATCACACATTCAAGAAACTTCTTTCCATACCTTTGTCATTGCTTCACACTGCAGTTAGTGAATGATTAAGTCAGCAAAAGTCCTCTGTAATTATGCTATATTCTGAAATGTATCTCCTTCGCTATTATTACCAAATGTGATTATTTTCTGATTAACAGAGACACAAGAGTACCTGCTTTTGTTAAAGTCAATTACTATATTATAAAAATCAGGCATATTTAAAATTAAAAACAAATATATGTTGAAGAGAGAACCACAGAAGACATAGTTTTATCATAATGTAATTTAGGGACAACAGGAGACTTTAATTATTGATCAGTCTGGTACATTTCTTAAGAGTAATCCTTGATTGCTGAATTTTGCGTAATCGTGTGTGTGCTATGACCAGCGAGCAGAAGTTAGACGTAATTTCACATGGAAGTGGCAGCATCTTTCTGGCTCACATCCGGCAGCTTGGTTTGGAGGAAAGTATAGATATGTGGCCAGATTTTATTAGTTTCTGTTCCAGAGAAGGATTTCAACAGCCCTTTTTCCCTGAGGAAAAAAAAGAAAGAAGTATTATAGAAGTCAAATTATCTGAGCTTTCCAGGATCCCAACCTCGCTTTAAGATTGCCCAGGCCAAAGTGTACTAATGTATATGTGATTTATTGCCAAGAGCAACTAGAACATTGGGAATGCAGGTCTACAAGCATTAGTGTGTTCTTCAGACAGTATACTATTGGCCACATCAGTTCAAAAAGCTGTCTACAGATCAATTAATAAAAAGTCATTAAAGGTAAAACTTAAGAAGCAGTCAAGCCATACAGTGAATCCTATATGGCAGTCATCCAATTGACTGCATTTTAGAGTCAGATCTCAAAAATCAAACCAGGCACAATCAGAATGTTTTGAACTCTAGTAGCTAGTCTTATCTGCAGTATTTTATTACAGGCTTGTAAAATTCAGAAAGTTACCAATCAGGAAAAATTTTTTCTGGATTGAAAACAACTATTTTTCTAAAACTGAACCAATCCAAAGATAGAGCTCCTAGTTTTCTATTAAGTAGTTTTCCTAGAGCATAATAAAGGGTGGTAGATAGAAAGAGATAGACAAAGGGACAGTTACTTCAGAATGTTCTTAGAAGAAGTTTAGTATGTTTATTCTAGGTGAGGTAAGACGACAAACCTCTATACAGTGATCAAGTGCTAACCTATTTATTACTAACATAGATAAAGCAATTTAAATAAAGCAGAGCAGACCAGCTTAACATGAAGAGAGACTATATACAGTTCTACTCTTCCACAGTGCAAATGGTAGTATTCTCAAACAGCTAGTTGTTCTAAGAGTGTTGTGAGCTTAGTATATAACAATTCTATTCTTAGAATAGATACCTCTAAATCCTCATTAACAATTTTTCTATTTATCAATTTCTTGACCCCTTGTGTATTACAAGGACTTCTATGCATGCAGAAATTAAGAATACTGTGAAAGTTTCGAAGAAGGGCACTGTCTCTGTTACCCTACTAAATAGACCTACATCACTCAGATCACTAATATAATGCACTGAATAATACCTAGCATTATGTGTAAAGCTAAAAGTGGCTGCAATGAAAGGCTCTTGTGCTAAGCTGGATCATGAAAAAGATTCATGCAACAGTCAAAATCATACTAATTTTACTACTTTCATTTCTTAAAAAGGTAATGAAAGATACACTGCTACTCATACCACACTCACTGTTTTAAGAACTCTATAACTGGAGAGATTTTTTCCTTACTGTGCTAATGTGGAAGAAGCATAGTATTTACTACTTACCGATAGTATTCTAGAACAGGTTTTGTTTGTGCATCATAAGCCTGCAGCCTCTTGGTAACCGTCTCTGGCTTATCATCATCTCGTTGAACCAGGGGTTCTCCAGTAATGTCATCAATGCCCTAATCATTGTTTAAAAGCAATTGCATTGGTTAAAAACAAACACTAATGTATATTTCTGTTTATCTTGTGTATTTTTTTATTTAAATTATGATCAGATTTCAGTTAGTCCAAGTGTAGGTTTCTGCTTATAAAGAGAAAAGCTACCATCTCTATCTTACCTGGAATATAAGAAGTTGACTTTCAAGTAAGACATTCAATTACTATAAAAATACTTTCATAGAATTTACGGTGAACATGAGGTTACTGTTACTTTACTGATTAGGTCTCTGGAACATTTGCTGAATATTGAAATATGTAGACAGAGCATTCTGATATGGTCTTGGCTGGGACAGAGTTAGTTTTCTTCAAAGAAGCTCATGTGATGCTGAGTTTTGGATTTATGAGGAAAAAGAAGGTGGTTGGTAATATGTTCATGCATAAGAGCAAGCAAGCAAGAAGCTAATTTGACCTTAGTTTGATGACAGCAAAATGGAGAATGGAATTCACAATCTTTTTAAGTCACACTGCAGAAGACCTAATATTTAGCAACAGATACATATTACAGCAAAATATGACATCGAAGCCAACAGAAACAATTCTACAGTTCAGTAAGCAGAGGCATGGGCTTACTGTGTGACAATTCCTACTCTTGTACACATTTCACTACCAGTTTCTTGAAGGGGTTGAAGTGGTTAGTGTGCTTTTAAGTCCTGAAACAAGCAATGACCAAGGAAATCATTGGTCACTGGCACAGTGGAAAATACAGGAACCTCATTTAGGATTAACTAGTAGCTTTAAATGCAACTCCTTAGGTGCACTGAGTTATGCACATAGTTACAGAGTAACCCACCATACAGACATAGGGGACTCTCTGCCCCTTCATACGTACTAATTAAATCCTAAATGATTTTCATTTTTTCCTAAAGGCAAGTTTAATCTGACATTTGAAGTGGAAATACTAGTTATCTTCAAAGTACAAAGTCTATTAGACAACAGAAACGTTCCTTCTTCCTGCTTGTTTTTTGGCAGTTTCAAGAACCAATGATAAATGGCAATGCTGAATAAGCTGCTCTGTTTATGAGGATGTGAAGAAAACTTGTTCCAGAATGTCTGATATTAGAGATAGATTTACATGGTCAAACTTACCTTCTTTATATTATACAATAATTTAAAATATTCAAGGGTTTCTACCTAACATCTATGCAGGCAACCATAATAGTGCCTTAGTTGCACCTGTTAAGTATCAAGACTGCAGTTTTGTATGAACTCTCAAGCCACAGTCTTTTAGTTTTGATGAGCAATTAAGCAGCTGAAATTTTTTCAGAGCTACCAGACAACACAGACAACTGCATTTCACCTGTTCAGTGTCATTCCACAAACTACTTCAATATGTTGTAATATGCTTCCTTCACTAATTACATGACAGAGTGGAGTACACAGCAGACCTTATACAGCTGGAGCCCACTCTACTATGTCTGGTAATTCTCTGCTGCTGCTTGTCTATGTTCTTCTGCAATTAAAAGTAACCATAATTTAAACTCCAGTTTTAAACTATACTTAGTGTTTATAATTGCTCACTTCAAGTGTTTACCTGGTATTTCACTGGCCTCTTTTCCTACAACACTGTAATGTCAAAAATACAAAGCCTGCTATAGTTGTGATGCAACTTAATAGAACTTCCAGATAAAGTGAGATGGTGCAACAGGTAAGTTATTTAGAGTTAAGGATGATACACAACTGAGTACCTAAAAAAAAATTAGGGTAATGATGTATATCCATTGTATATTAACTTACTGTTCTTGTTTTATGATACCTCAAGCTTTAAGCTTTCTGTTCTGTTGAGAAGCTTCTCATACTAGCCTATGTCTAATTTTGCAATATGACAACTGCTCCTCTGAAAATACCCTGATTAAATGGTAATTAATCAGGAAAAGTATCAAGTGGATATCTCTGACTGATAAGAGTATTTTACTTAATGTGCACCCTGGATACAAAGAATGAGTCCTCTGGAGGATGGGAAACGGCAATTCAGACTGCACAATTAGTAACTGCAAAGCAGGCTAAGATGATGCCCATCTCACATGAAGGTGTGCAGGTCTTCCAGATCAGTGAATAATAGGAGCTTATGAAACAGTATGAGGAGCTGGCAGCATGGTGTTTCATTCTGCAGAGGACAAGCATATTGCCCATGAGCTTGAGCTTCTACCAGGGCATTCTCCAAGAGGCAGTTTGTTAGCAGAGAGTTTCTGTGCTCTTAAGAAATAAAACAAACCTTTTTCTTCTGAACTACTGTATTTTGCAATAACGTACATAAATATTTCAGTACAACTTCCAAATGCAGTGCAACATTTATTTAGCACCAGTATCAATATGTGTATTGCTTACCTGCACTTTGGGAGGACTGAATTCAAGGTTGTAGACTCTGCCACTAGTAGGGTGGATCCACCGTGCAGTGAGACGACATTTTATGGTTTCAAATGGTACGTCTAGGTCAATCACAGTGTCTATTTGACATTCTTTATCCAGGGCTTCTGCTTGAGCAACTGTTCTAGGGAAACCTTTATGAAGGAAATAACTCCATAAGTATCCAGAGTTATGACAATTTGCTGGATTTCAACATTAGAGAAAGTGCTAGTCAGATAGAAAACATATATTATTATGCTATAAAAGCTGAAGAGACATCAGATTTTTCTGACACATTTTTTCAGCACATTTTTCAGTTTCGTGGCACTCTTGTTGAATGCCTTCCAGCTTCCATTTCCTCAGTTCATATAGACATCTTCCCAGAAGTGTAACAAACAAGCAAAAATACTCCATATTCATATGTACTATGCACCAATTTACTCATAAAAAAACCCACAATATACACATCTTGAACAATAAAAGCCATAGGCAGTTCATTCAGAGAGGAACAGAACAATCTATAGACACTTGGGACAGCTCTTATTTTCAGGAAAAGTCTGGCATAATTAGCTGGTCATAACCTCCCTTTGCATTAAAAACAATGTATCTACCAGAGGCTATGAGTACAGTGGGGGCACAGAAATCTCTATTTAATGCCTTTTGCTCATGAATTCTGTGGCTCCAGTGGACTGCATTCAAAGACTCATGTTATTAGTAAATAACATAATTTAAGGAGAGGGAAAAATTGAGAATAAAAAAAACTAACATTGCCACAAAAATTTTAAGATGAAATATGGATCACAGCTTTAATGTTTAAAGCTGCTGTAGAACATGCTGTTATACCACAGATTCACTGGAATAAAACCTCTACCCACCAAACTCATCAATAGTCCCATACTCTTCAGCTGCTTATAACTTTCATCATACTATAGAAGTAATTTTCTTCATGAAGTCGAGTGCTGAAAAAATACAAAGTTAAGAAACTTCTTTCCATAATATTGATTAATGAGACCACTGTCCAAGTAAAGAATTAGCCAAGAATTTGCCTTGAAAAAAAAGAGGGGAGGGAGCAGCGGCAAGTGAGTGTAAAGAATAATCATTTATGGTCTTAAGGGTCCTGTGTCTTGTCTACCATAACTTCATTGAGAGAAATTATTTACTCAAGCCAAGCTTTTGCTTATGCCTCAAGGTTGACAGACCTGGTTTCCGTCATAGTCATCAACTAACCCTCATCCCGTTTCTCTCATGTTCACATAAGCAAGTAGAAGTGCTTCTGAATGTTTAAAGCAGAGGGAGAATGGAGACTCCAGCACTGCTCTTTTTTCACACTGCTGACAAGCTATTCAGCCACCATATATCTTAGTCGTACCACTGGAAAATGAGTCACCCTGAGACTGTACTGAGAAACTTCCTCAACAAATTCAAGTGCTTTTACAAATATATTTCATTGGAATTCGCAGTTGCTGCATGCAACATTTCCTGAAAAAAACAGAAAATAAACTACACTAGTTGCCCTTCTCTGATTCACCGATATTGTCACTTCATTAAAAAGGCCACTGGACTAGTCAGGCATGATCTGCCCTAAGTGAAGCCATGCTGTCTGTCCCAAATGACCTTTTCATCTTGTATGTGCCTCAACATAGTTTTCATAAGGGTCTGCGCCATTATCTTTCCAGACATAAAGCTCACAGGCCTAGCTCCCCAGGTCCTCCTTTCTGTCATTCTTATATATACTCTCATATGAGAGTGGCTTGACAACCACATCAACCGTGCATCCTGGGATGCATGTTATCAGACCCCATAGACTTGTACATATTCAGTCTCATCAAGCAGTCTCAAACTTACTCTTCTCTTACCCTGGAAGGGATTTTACTCCCCATACCTCAACTGGAGGTTCAGGAACATAAGAAAATGTGGGAAGCCTGATGGCCAGCAAAGACCAAGGCAAAAACTACACTGACTACCTCAGCCTCCTCTTTGTTCTTGTCAGTTCTCTCATTTACTACATGGAGTGTACACTCTCCTTTCTCTGACTCTTCTGACCAATATACTTGCAGAATCCCTTAGTATTTTTCACATCCCTTGTCACATTCAGTTTCGTTTTTGCTTTGACTTTATTGATCCTATTTCTGCATGTCCAGACAGCATCCTTGTATTGTTTCCAGACTCCATGTCCCTACTTCCATTACCTGCACATTTCTTATGTATATTCTTATCCCTCAGTTTGACCAGTAACTCTCCACTCAGCCATGCCAGTTTCCTGCATTTCCCACTTGACTGGGTTTGCTGGGGGATGGAGATCTCTTGTGTTCTTAAATATGCACAAGCTCTACTCTGTTCCTTTCCCTAAGGATAGCTTCCCAGGGAATCTCATAAAATACTTAATCGAACAGATGGAAGTTTGCTCTTCTAAAGTTCAGGATCCTGACTTTGCTTCTTGCCAGGCCCGTATTCCTCAAGATCAAGAGCTCAACCCAGGTGCTGTGACTACAGACCAGACTGCCTCCAGACTTAACCTCTTTAATGATGTCATTTCCACTGGTGTCCATTAGCACTTCTCCTCTGATTGGTCTGTCTAATGTCTGAACCAGAAATTTGTTTCCAGCATGTTACAGGAGACTTCTGGATTGCCTGCAGCCCTCCATGTTGCTTTCCTAGCAGGCATTCCACTGGTTCAAATACCCCATCAGGATAAGAGCCTGCAACCACAGTGCTTCTTGTAGCAAGAAGGCCTCATCAACAGGCTCCCTTTGATCAGGCAGCCTATTGTAAACTCATAGGCACAAGATGCCCTTTACTGGTCCAATCCCTAATTTTAACCCACAAGGTCTCAACCTGTTCATGGCTGTTTCTCAGAGATAGCTCTGCACAATCTCAATTTCATAACATAAAGGGCAATTCCCCCACCACTCTTTCCCTGCATGTTTTTTCTGAAAAGCATGTAGCAATCAAATGTAGTGTTCAAGTTGTGCGATTCATCTCATCACATTTCCATGCCAGCAATTACATCATAGTTTTCTAAATGCACCATGGTTTCCAACTCCTCCTGCTTAGTTTGCATGCTGCATGTGTTATTGAGGAGCTCTTCACAGTGCATTTGAGATAAAAATCTGAGGTTCACTGCACTGCAGAAGTATAATAGAGCACTTCAGGACAGAGAGAATCATAAAACAGAAGGACCTTAAAGATCATCTAGTTCCAACCCCCTTCCCAGACCAGGATACCTTGCACTACCAGAGATTACTCACCACCCTCACAGTAGAATCTTTTTTCCTAATATCTAATATAAATCTATATTTTTAGTTTGAATCGATTATGCTTGTCCTATCACTACACCTGCTGATGGTCTCTCTTGTAGACCGTTTAGGTACTGGAAGGTTACAATACAACATCCTCAAAGCCTTCTGTTCTCCAGGCTGAAGAACCCCAGTTCTCTCAGCCTATCTTCATAGGAGGAGCACACTAGTATTTTGATCTTTCTCATAGCCCTCCTCTGAACTCACTCCAACTGTCCATATCCTTCTTATGCTGGGGACTCAGGACTGAAGGTAGTACTGCAGATGGGTCTCACAAGAGCAAAGCAGAAAGAGAGAATTACTGTCTTCAGTGTGCTGCTCATGCTTCTTTTGATATGGCCCAGGATACAGCTGGCCTTCTCGGCCAACAGTGCACACTACTGGCTTATCAGCCAATGTCCCAGAGTCCTTCTACTCAGGACTTTTGATACATTCTCTGCCCAGCCTTTAGTCACCAGGTGCAGGACATTGCACTTGGCCTTGTTGAACTGCATGAGGTTCATATGAATCTACCACTCAAGAAACAAGGTCCTTCTGGATGGCATCCTTTCCCTCCAGCACACAGACAACACCATTAAGCTTGGTGTCATCTACACATCTGCTGAGGGTTCAATTCTATTGTCCCACATGAGCAATAATAACACTAAATAGCACTAGTCCCCGTACAGACCTCTAAGGAAAACCACCATTATTTGTCTCCATTTCGACATTAAGTTGTTCACCACAATTCTTTCAGTGTAACCAACCAGCTAATTCCTTGTCCACCAAATGCTCCATCCATTATACTCATGTCACCAATTCAGAGGCAAGGAAATTGCACAGAACAGAGTTAAATACTTTGCAGAACTTCAGGTAAATCACATCTTCCCTTATCCACTGTGACTCTGTTGCAGGCCACAGATTTGTCAGCAATGATTTGCCCTCAGTGAAACCATGCTGGCTGTTACCAGTCACCCCTTTGTTTGTAGGAGGAGCTCCTCCATGATCATGCTGGGCACACAGAGGAGACTGCCTGGCTTGTAACTCCCCAGGTCTTCTACTTTTCCTTTTTTTTTTTTTTTTTTTCCCTTAAACCAGGGGTTCCAGTCAGGGGGAACATAACCAGACTGCCATGACTTCTCAGATATGATGGACTGTGGATTAGCAGCTTCATTCACCAGTTCCCTCAAGACCATTAAATACATATCATCAGGTCCCATGAACCCATGCACCGTCAGATTCCTTAGATGGTCTAAAAACTGATCTTCTACAGTATATCCGCTGTTCTTTTTCTCCCTGATCTTGCTTTTTGCCTTCTGTGAATTAGGCAGTGTAGCTGGAGCACTTGCCAGTGAAGACTGAGGCAAGAAACTGAGTATCTCAGCCTTCCTATTATAGGTAATTAGGTCTCCTGTTTCCTTCCGAAGAGGGCCCACATTTTCCCTGGTCTTCTGTTTATTACTAACACAGAGCAATATTGATGTTTCACTCCCTCTAAACCAAAAGCCACATCAACAACTTTTTAGTTTTATCTACTGAGACAAGTTGTGGTCAGAATGTGAAAACACACACATCCACACTAGACTCTATCTTTGTGATGCACAACCAACTGTACTTCCAGGGACTAGGGCAGCAAGAACCAGTCAGTCCATGATACTGTGGAAAATGTATTTTCTCTCAAGTCTGAATGCTGAAGCTATAAGCTTACACTGGAGAATTGCCATACAATTTGGTCTAAAGGAGGTCTTTAAGAACAATGACTTGTTCTTGAGTGATGGTTTTGTTAGTGATTTATTACACATGCCACTGCTGCAGCGCTCTCATATGCACACTTACTTATTGCTGTTTCACATGCTTGCCTACTTTTCTATTTACATAACTACTTTGACCCTTTCTTCAAGTGTTCCACTCTCCAAGGACTGTTTAAAAAAAACAATTCTCAATCCATATTTTAAAAGAAGCCCCTGTTATTGGAGGGGAAATAAGAATTACCAGTTTTGAAATGTTATTTTTCAGTAAAAGGGCCTTTTCAACATAGATTAATGTCCCTTTAACACTCTGAAAGCAGCATGCATCCTGTGCACTTTGCAGCCAAAGAAAGTGGAGCTGCCAAATGTTTCAGCAGAAGCTGGCAATATACACTGTAAAATACTATGCCTCAAGGGTGGCTACCAAACGCTAGATATCCACTAGTGAATCAAGCAAACCAAGCTTTCTAGTGCTGATTTCTTCTCCTTACATAGTATATCAAATATGCTAACTTACCATCCAGCAGCCAGTTGTACCGATCTAGACCTTTTAGCTCATTCAGCATCAGCCGTGTCATGATGTCATCTGGAATAAGCCTTCCTTGATCAATGTAGGACTTGGCAAGGATTCCAACTTCTGTGAAAGTAAGAGGAGTCATGTCCCAGTACCTATGACCTCCAGCAACTAAAAAAATGCCAACAACCCTGTAAACACTTGACTTTGATCAAGATGGCACAGAACAGTAAAGTTATTAACCAGACACTGGGATCTGATTTTGCAAATATGTATCAGATTAATTTGTTTGGACTATGGCTCCATAAATGACAACAGGGGCATTCAGCTTACTTCTAAACCCATAGCCAAAAATAATTTTACTGCTGAGTATTTGAAAGATAATTTCTAAAAACCGGAATGAGTCCTCAAAACAAGAATAAAGAAACATAAAGCAACCAAGCTCTGTAATGATGCCAGCCCTCAGATTTCCTGCTGAGGAATTTATTTTCTCAGTTTAATGTCTAGTTATTATTCTATGACTTCACTACAAAAAGAAACTCCACTGGAATTTAAGAGAGCAGCACGCAATGGGGCACACATGCCAGAACAAGTTTTTATGATTACTAAAGTTACAAGCTGTTTATAGATGTTGTAAACTATTTATAGGAGTGCACATCCACTAGTACTTTCCCATGACACTGACTACCCTTTAATACCTGTTGCTTAGCCCACCAGATTGCTAAGATGCTATTTACACATCACAGATCCAGATATCACACTCTGATATCACATGCATTATCATGCTGCAGGTCATCTAAGTCATGGGAACAGCCAGGAAAAAATTCATTTGCCTGAGCTCTATTCTGAGCACAAAGTCTTTGTGGCCTTAGTTTATAAAACAAATACCTAATTTAATGAGTCACCTCCAATAGCACCTAAATTTTTTTGTTTTTTTTGTTTTGTTTTGTTTTGTTTTAATCATGGATCTGCTTAAGTGTTTATTAATGGACAATTCAGTTCTAGTTAAAGTAAGCTAAACAAGAGGATGGGATGGACTGACATTACTGATACACAATAAGACCACTTCCAGCAGGAAGCAGTAAAAAATGCCAGCCCCACCACCTGATGCAGTATTGAAAGCTGTACAGTGTACAATGGCTTTTCTTCAAATAAGGCTAATGAAAAGCACTAGACATCCTCAAGTAATGCAAACATTCCCAGGGGGAAATGGGAAATTTCCCTTTACTGTGAGTCCATATATACAGATTAGCTTTGAAAAGTCTGAAAGTAGATCAAAAACAGGCACTGTACACTACCAACAGGCTCCAAATAATCCTCACAGTGTGGGAAAGAGCCATATTCAGATGTCTGGAGACCCACAGCATGAAAACTAAAACAAAGATGACAGCCTGTATGGGTACAAAATACCTGTTATTTTCTATATGTCACCTCTTAGTAATATCTTTTCTATTATCCCAGTGCACTTAGAACTATGTACTCCACAAAATTGGCTGGAAAGAGAAATAAATTGCATCTAAATAGTTTAACGTGCACTTGATGCCCAAACCTGTTAGATTCATGCCACCATATTTCTCAAGCCACAGTGATCTAAGAGTACATGCAACGCAAGCCTGGTAGAAAATGGTAATACCAAATACTTTGTAATCACCTTTGTAAAGGTGAGCTTTTGGTGCAGACAGGTGAAGCATATGGCAAGTTGTAAGGCACACAAGTCTTATTATTTGAACAGTGGAAAAGGAAACACTGCCTCTAACTGCAAGCCCCTGATCTTCTAGAGCCAACTATTGCAGGAGGAAAAAAATAATCATGGAATCATAGAATCAACAAGGTTGGAAAAGACCTCCAAGATCATCCTGTCCAATGGTCCACCTACCACCAATATTTCCCCATTAAACCACATTCCTTAGTACAACACATGTATGCTCTTGAACACCTCCAGGGACCTCCACCACCTCCCTGCGCAGCCTATTACAGCACCTAACCACTCTTTTGGAGAAGAAAATTTTCCTAATATCCAACCTGAGTCATGACTATTAACCTAAGACTTGAATAGTCGTGTTAGGTGTGATGGAGAGGGTTAGTGACGTTTTGTTTGGTTGGTTTGATTTGGTTTAAGCTTGGGTCTGAAACTACCATAGGCATGGCAGTCTTTGGCATTAAAAGGGAACACCATTTTCTTTCCTGTCCAGGAAAAAAACAGGTATTTCTGCTAAAAGTTTTGCAGAAGACTGGCTTGTCCTAACTGCATACAGCAAACAAGCTTCAGCCATATTCAGACTGCAGGCTGCTAAGCACTGTAGAGACTGTCACCAACTCTCCACTCTCTCATATATTCACCTCAGACATCTGGAGACTGTTTCCACAAATAGTGGCTTATTTTCAATAAAATTCAGACAGAGCTTCATCTGCAATATGTCATGAATGAAAAACTCCATAGTAGATTCTTTAAGTTCTGTTAGCTAACTCTAAGTGAATTTCAACACCTCCTACATCCTTCATTGATTTCTCACAACACTGATTCTCATGTTTCCACTCTCCTTCAGATCCTTTAATCTGTCCAGTCCACTGAGATCATTTTTGCTGAATCACTTGCCTTTCCATTGCTCCAAAACTCCCTTGCCAAATCAATCAGTGGGTATTTATTCTTCTCATACACCCCTCAGCTTGACTGTTTACATTCTTTGATCTTGCTTCCAAGATACAACACTTTCAATGGGCACAAAACTAATCTATTTCATAAACAGTGTGTTTTCTTTCTGTTCTGAGAAGTCTTCCATTCTCACTGAATCTTACTTAACCTGAAGGTTCATAGCAGTAACAATTTTGGTTTTGTGAGCCTCTAGAGAGAGCTGACTTTGACTCTACAATCACACAAAAGTCTGGACGCGTTCAGATACGCATGTAGAGGTGGTGCTCCTAGCAAATGTTTAACCCAGAGATACCAACTACAGTGAGGTCAGTCAACTGAGCTAAGGCCATTACTCTTACAGAGCAAACATGGTTTGTGTGAAGATATGTGGAAATCAAAACCAGCTAACTGATTTCATAATAACAGATCATTTTTTCATTTTCAAGGATGTTCACAAATTTTCAAAACCAATACCAACAGTTATGTAACCATGCTATTGCTCTGCCGCTGCAAAGGTAGGTGGTCATTCACAACTTCTTCCAGGTGCTGGCACCAACACCCTCACACCACAAACAGCCACAAGTGGCTCCTGCAAGATTTTCATCCACACCATGAATAAAAGCAGATCTGCAAGCCAGAGGGCAACCTGTCATCGGTAAAAAAAAAAAAAACAAAAGAAAAACAAACAAACAAACAAACAAACAAAAACAGGAGAGAGTTGCACTGGAAAAGAGCCAGAGATCAAGACAGGACAACACGGTAAATAAGATTAAGGCAAACAGCTTGAAAACTTTGCCACTCGTTTTCGGTACCCCCACTGCCCACTTCGGGACAAACTTCCGATAGAGGAACAGCGAGGAACTCCGCGGCCTCACAGCCCCTGGGACAGGCCTCGTGTGGAGCTCCAGGAAACGTAAGCGGGAAGGAGACCGGTGCAGAGCTTTCCGTTTCCCGCGTGCGCTGGAGGGCCCGGGGCTGGCGGCGGAGCCACCCCCCGCCGCTCACCTGTCTTCTTCTGCATGTTGTCCCTCAGCAGATCTCCGCTAGAGAGGTGCTTCATGCCGAAGTGCTTGATGATCCGCGCCGAGATCGTGCCCTTGCCGGAGCCCGGCGGGCCCATAATGACGGCGCGCAGCAGCGGCGGCGGCGCCATCCCGCAGCGGCCGCCGGGCCCCGCTCGTCGCCGCCGCTGCCGCGCGCAAGTCCCGCGGCCTAGGCCAGGCGGGGCGGACCGGAGCGACGAGTGCGGCCTGCAGCGGCGCCGCCTACCCCCGGGCGGCGCCTCGTCCCCGTGCCGGGCTGAGGGTGGCAGGAGGCCGCGGAGTGCCGGTGACAGCTCTCCTGGTGAAGGAGCTGTCAGCACGGGGGAGAGAAGGGAATGATCTTTATAGTAAGGCACAAAAATAACCGCCAAAATACTGATACCCAAGCAAGCCGCGTTAAAACGAGAAGCATCAGACAGCCCTTAAGGCAAGCACTGTAACAAAGTAACTTCTCCCTCTCCCTCCTAACCCCACCCATAAAAGGCAACCACGTTAAGGAACTACAAGCACGGATGCTTATTAATGCCCAAACGCACCACATTCATACTCATCAAGAAGCCCTTATGAGACCATCAGTCCTCCTCCCCTGCCCCCCGGGTCCCCTTCCAGCACCTCCCTCAGCCTGCCCGTGCTTCAGGAGGACCACCGCAGCTCTCCCCCATCAAGCCCCCTGCCCCTATCCTGACCATAGGAGTGCCTCTTCCCTACCCTTACCTTGCTCAGTTTAAATTTCCAAGACTAGCCTTGAATGTGGCTTATTATCTGACTGTCACCTAGTGATCACTGGACTGTTGACACATACTGTTGTTATCACTACCCCACTCTGCTTGCCCCTGCTCAGGTGCCATAAGGTTGTACTGTGGTCACCTCAGCTCCTGGCTCACCCAACTTCATTCAGCAGCTCTGCTCTTGCTGGTCTTCATAAGGCTGCTCCAACAGTATGATAGCAAGTAGCCACATTTTTTAAAAGCTGGGGCTGAGCTTTGTTTAAGAGAGTTTAATGTCGACTGCTGCCACTTGGTCCTCATTTGAGCACTGTTGTTCCAATGACATCCAGAGGCCTCTTCCCACAATACAATTCAGTGATTCTCAGCAGTATGCAGCACTTTCACTAAAACATAACACTATACCACTAGTTCAATGTTCACTGTCAGGTCTGCTGCAAAAATAAGCCTTCCTGCTAAAGATTATGGAGATGCTACTTAGTGGATCTCACCCACTATGAACATGGAGAGCAGCAGTGAAAACCAATCTCACAGAAAGCAGAACCAAAGACAAAATGCACTTTAATGAAATCCAGCTTTCCTTTTTACAACCTTGTTTAATTGCAGTGGTTGTAGAAGTCTTCTGAAATAGCAACAGAAAAACCTTCAGATGGGCATGTGGTATTCAGCAACAGTATGAGCAAAGCCCAAAAAACTGTCTAGTAGACAAGATGAATAGCCTTAATGTTTAAGTATGAAAACACTAGCTGAGCACTTAGAAGTATAAGCATCGAGTAAGCCCCATAATCAAATCTGTTATTACCTCTCTTTATTCTACAATGCAGCAGGACAGAAAGTGTGAAGCATTCAAAGCTTTATGAGAGTTCCCTGGGAAATATCTCAGTTTGCCAAAGCAGTAGTTATATGTACAGGCTGCAACACAATTTGGTAATGTAGATGTTAGAACCCATGCTGTTTATTCGCAGTTAAATGTTTCACATAAACTTATGAAAGGTAGAAAATTTTTGAGTGTTTCTAAAACAAATTTTGGGGAAAGGGAAGTTATTGTATGAAATAAACACTACAACAAACACTAGATTTGTCAGTGAGATCACTAAACCTTATTTCAAAGTGTATAAAAAATGGAAATATTTTATCTATGTGTTAATGAAGGAGCCTGAGGATCAACTTTCCTGCAGGCATTACTGGACAGTTCAAAGAAAAGGCACAGAGGACAGCTAAAATAATCACACTATCAAAAACCACTTAAAAACATTTTCAGATTTCAGAAAGCATAAGCAAAGAAAGAGTGGATGGAGGTGGATTGAGAGCCACTTCACACATACAGTCTTACTAGCATATAGTCTTTGCAAAACAACATGTGGGTAACTGCATTATCAAGTGTTCATAGTAAAATGAATTATTGTTCCCTTCTCCTCAGCTATCTTTGCCAGAGTACATCCTTCATCCTAATGGTTCTAGGTAATACTTGTGGCATATTGAGAAATGCAAAAGTGAATAAATAAAGGGAGGATCTGTAGCAGCGATATAGATAATTGGTTCACTAGTTCTTCAGTACAGTCCTTTAGTTAAAAAATATGCACATTATTTTTTTCTGCATAATTTTAACATTTCAAACATGGCAATCGTTTATATTAATCCAGACTAAACTACTCATATTTTAACACAGTAATCAATGCTTAATTAATACAGCCTACATTGTATTCTCAATTAACCTTTTTCCTGCTTACAGATCAGATGCTTTATTCACACATGTAGTTTGCACATTTAAGTTCAGCCTATATGCCTTTGTGCCCTTAAGTCCTGATTAAGGAAGTTTACCTTACCATTTAGCTATCACAAGGGCATCAGAATCTTATTTTAAACAAGTCCTAATGTTCTTTCCAATAAAGAGTCTTTCAGACTTTTCAGTAGCTTTTCAAACATAAGTAATTCTTTAAAGAGACTTATTAAGACTTATATTGTAAAAAGAACTTTAGTCTTATCTTCTCCTTGGAGATCCACGTCCTTTTGAGTTTGCTAAAGAATTTCATTAGAACTGTAACAAAACTATTTCCTATCCTTTCTATTTTACATCAGAATGATTTCTTATGTGAGGAAGAAGTTACACAAGGGCCATAACAAAAGTAATGAATTCTATTTTAGTATGTTGGCCCACAGTGTCAGAGGCACACATTGGTGGAATGGCAACAAAGGTTGAACATTACCACCAATACTCTGTTAGATTTTGTTGCTGTGTAACAAATGGCAGCAATGGGGCAGTTCTACAGAATGACGCATTAAATGAACAGTATCTTGATCAGTTCACCCATGTGAATCAGCAGATTAAAACCAAGGAAACGTACGGGGCTGAATATTGGTTTCAATGCATTGGAAATGATGGCAACAACACTGGAATATCAGAAAATCTGTGCTGAGTGTGTCCCATGAATGCTCATATGGGAAAAAAAAAAAGAACACTATATCCAAGTTTTCCTGGATGTATTGAACCAATAAGAGGCTGAAGGTGGCAGATCCCTGGATCACATCATGACTGGTGATGAGATGTGGAGTCATCACTATAAGCCAGAGTTAAAACAGCAGTTCAAGAGTAGTGACATGTGAATTCCTTAGTGAAGAAAAAGTTCAAGACACAGCTTTCAGTGGGTAGTAACATGCACTGTCCTTTGCAATACAAGAGGTGTAATCTGTCTGCATTTCCTAGTACACAGGAAAACCATCAACTCAGACTGCTACACTGCAGCTGAATAAGTTGAAAGGTCAAATTTCCATTGTCAGGCCAGGGAAGAAGACACCTTTCTTTTGTAGGTATGATAATCCCAGACCTCGTACCAGTTCAATGACCGGGAAGTACATTCCCAGACTTGGTCATACCACACCCACTGTATAGTGGCATATAGAATCATTACTTCTGGAGTGACCTACATAAAATACCGTCCCTTTAACATTTCACTTAATATGAAAGATACAGAAATGGAAAAGGAATAAAATTAGGTGATTGTTGTATGCCACACTAGCCTGAATAAGCAAGAACAATCAGGGTTAAGCAAATCATGGGTCTTCCAACACTTGAACATACACTGCATTCACCAAAACTCACAGGTGACTCTTAACCACCTTCTCTTTGTATATGAATCTTTAGTGGATTCAGACAAACACCAACAAACTTAATTTCTTGCTTACTGCCTACTCGTGTGAAAAATGGCCACCTTTCTCGCAGTCCAAATACAGGCTTGAACATGACATGCAGAAACACTTTCTGTCACTAGATGTCAATGAAACCACGTTTAAAGATACTGCTGCTGCATTTGGATGCCTGGTTCTTTCACTCTGGCAGTGCAAGCACCCATGTTATAAGCACCTTGTTTCCCAGCTCACATGGTTGTATCTGAGCTGCATGTGCACTATATGTTCTCCAGTTTGTTTAAAACAGCTAACATTGTATACTATTTGATAAAGCGTGGAAAAATGCAACTCCACAATGACATATCTTGCAGATTTTACGGTATCTTCATATCTTTTCTATACCTTCAAATGCATCACACATAGAAAGAAGAATCAAAGCCATCTGCTCATGGTTTCAAAAAAATGTGATCACTAATAACGTATATTCCCATTCACTTTTAAAGAAAATATTTAGAGCACATAAAATTGGATCACACTGGTCTCATGTCAGCTAACTCATAATCAAGGCTCTTCATACAGGCCACTAAGTTGAAAGGATAGCAAATGCTAAGACTCTTTTTTTGTCCACGTAAGACACACTCTTTAACCTTAAATGCCTGGCTGTGAATCCAACATCCGAAAAGATACATGCAATAAATTACCAGACATTAGGAAGTAGGTCAAAGGGCCTGACATTAAAAAGGAGACCACTAAGGAAAAAAATCAGTTTTAAAAGAATCTACCTACAGCTGTGTTAAGAAAAGAACTAAGAACAGGGTAGCTAAGCAAGGTGAGAATCTTTATGAATTCAAGAAATGAGAAAGTACAGCCTTTTAAAGTTTTTTAAAAAAAGCCAAGAAAACAGATTTAAGATATAAAGTTCAGACCAAAAGATAATTTTGAAGTAGATTTTGAGTGTAATACAACTGCTTTTTCTTTTTTTTTTTTTCCCCCCCTAAGCGCTGAAGATACTCTGTAACAAGCACCTGCACACATTGATTGCTGGTTTGGTTTAGTTTTGGGAGGACCAGGGGGGGTTCAGATCTTGAAATTATTTCTAAATATTTGTTATAATCCAAATCAAGGAAATACACATTTGAATTATTTGTGTACCAGTGGCTCTCTTCCAAAGATTGCCAATGGGAATGTAAGAAGCATACCTTCTACAGCTGTTCCACAAGCTCTATCAGAAACAGTTTATATGACCTGCCCGGGAACTATGAAGTACATCCATTTAGGTTAAGTTGAAATTTTTCAGATAAGTCATTCTCC